TCTGATATATTTAAGACATCTCTTAGATTTTTAACCCTTAGTATATGCAATTAAATCATTCGTGCTCAGCATATTTTTTTTCTTCGAAAAACTAAGCATCATTTAGTTATAACATTTAGATACAATTTTTTTAAATATATAACCTTAGAAATACTTTCTAAAGATATTAAAGTATATGTAAGAATGATTTAATAACCTTTGTGTATTTATTAAAGTGATGAAAATTAATCCAGAACATGAATGATCCTCTGAGTAAAGGATCAGAAAATTATCGTGTGTACTAAGGGTTAATTTTTGTAGTCTATGCATTAAAATTATATTTGTAGAGAATGATAAATTATTTGTGTGAATTATATATGTTTACAGCCTCCAGTTTTAATAAAAGAATTTGGTCAGATAGACTACATTGACTTCTCACCAGTAGAGCCACATTATTTCGCAACAACCTGCTCAGTACGAGTACAACTGTATAATCCTATCACAAAATTAACCACAAAAACTTACAGCAAGTTCAAAGAAGCTGCATATGGAGGTTGCTTCCGTAGAGACGGCAAGCTGTTGTGTGTCGGTGGAGAAGAAGCAGTGATTAAACTCTTTAATATCAGTTCAAATAGCATGTTGCGAATCTTTTCTGGACACAAGGCTGCAGTGCACAGAGCTTTCTTCACAGCTGATGATGTTCACGTTGCCTCATTTTCAGACGATCAGACTGTAGTTTTGTGGGATATACCTAGTGAAAAACAATTGACAAGCTTCAATGAACATACAGATTACGTTAGAGCCGGCGCAGTAAGTCCTGTATCCTCTGATGTGTTATTATCTGGTGGATATGACAAAATTGTGAATATGTATGATGTCAGAACGAATAAGAAGGTATTTAGTGTTAATCATAACGCACCAGTAGAAAGTTTACTTTTCTTGCCGACTGGAGGAATATTTCTGTCAGCAGGTATAATATTTATGATAGTTTGATTATATTTTACGTATCATATAATTTTAAAGAATTTTCAATGCGCAATTCAAATGACTACATATGTAGTATATAAATTCACATGGAAATTATAAGCATCTAAGATCTAGTTTTGACTGTTATAGGCTTTAAATTCTTACTCGTTGTGTATTCACATTATATGGTTTTAATAAGTCTTTTATTATTGTTTAAAAAATTTTATAAACTTTTTAGTAAATAATTGTATAATAATTATACATATTATTATATACACATTCTATACTATTTCATACAGTTGAGGCTTTATGTATAAAATTGTTTGTTATTTATTTATCTGTGATTTCAAGGTGGGACAGATATTAAAGTATGGGATGCTCTTGCGGGTGGCAAATTGATCGCGAAAATTACGCAACATCATAAAACTGTAACTTGCCTGAAAATTGCTTCTAATGGTAATAGAATACTGTCTGGTTCGTTGGACAGGCATGTTAAAGTTTACGATGCTGGAACATATAAAACTCTTCATGCTTTGGATTATCCTAATGCGGTTCTCAGCATAGGAATTAGTGTAAGAAGAAAATATTGTCTTTTTGCCGTTACCGCGTTAAATCTACTGTCACATCCATACTTATTTGACCCGGGAAATCGTCTGGGGTGTTTTTATATTTTTCCATTTTTAATAACTTTACTTTCTTCTTTAATAACTGTTTTTTTTTACGAATCTTTAAATATACAATTTCATCGAAAACCCACAATAAGAAAGCATTTTAATAAACAACTTTATTTTTCAAAAATACTGTCATAATAAGCTACTTAACGTTTAATCTGTTTGTAATATTTGTCTGGTTTCTATTTACTTTTTTTTAGAAAATTGAGTAAATCTATATATCCGTAATATTCTCAAAGACTAACAAATTGGAAAATATTCAATAATATGATACATTGTTATATGATAAGTGATTTTTAATTGGGATTTAAAAATATCTCAGGTGATCGTTTACGTAAAACATGACTACTCTCGGATTAATAAATTTAATCTATTTAATATTATAAAATTGAATTATTTGTAAAAATTGATACAGTTAAATGCATTAATATTAAATTGCAGGTAGACGACGAAACCGTCGTAGCTGGTATGGTAGACGGTATGATTTCTGTTAGAAGACGCGAGGAAGACGTGAAAGATGTAATAAAACCGAAACGAAAGAAGGTGTCATATAGGCATGCAGGAGAAAATCTGCATGTGCGAAGTATTGACGTAGTCGTGCACCAAGAAGTCAAAGAGGTAATGAGCAAGCACGATGCCTGCTTGCGAAAGTTTCAATATAGTAAAGCGCTCGATTGTGTCATGATGAATTATGTGGTTAATAAAACGCCACATGTCACTGTAGCGCTTACACAGGAACTTATTAGGCGCGAAGGCTTAAAGCGAGCTTTGGCCGGTAGAGACGGCAAGTCGCTAGTTAATATTATTAAATTTTTGAACAAATACATTGGCAGTATACGTTTTGGAAGAGTATTGTCGCACGTAGCGAATGTGTTATTAGGTAAGTTTTAAATATTTCCTTTTAGATTTCTTTAGAATCTCACATATTTTTTACATTAATAATAAAATCTATTCTTTGTTTAATAGACGTTTACGAAGATCATTTGGACGAACTGTCAGAGGAAACACGAAAAACGTTTGCTATACTGTTGCAAAAATTGCAGGAGGAAGAGCAATTAATTTTAGCCTTAACGCAATTGCAAGGTTCAATGCAAATGATATTGTCTGGCGCTGAAACATCTTCTTTACCTGCTGTAAAAGAAATTCAAAGCTTGGAACCGTCAAACGCCGCTCAAACAGAACGTGATATTGTTTTAAATATAGCTTAAAATAATTTATAAAATATTTAATTGTAAAATAATTTTTGTAAAATAGTTTTTTGTACATAATTTTACATTACATTAGCATTAAATTTCTCGAAATATAAATAAACAAGCAACAATTTAAATACTTTCCCCTTAATGAATAAGTGAAGAATAACAAATTTAAAATTTTTCAAAAATTAATTTATAGTGAAAAAGTTTGTGGTGTATACAAGTCATAAGCTTAATTGAAAATATTCTAGCAAATTGTTTTTTATTTTTTTAAACTTAAATTGACACGTCATTCGCTTATTTCAAGAAGTCTCCTTATTGAGACATTTTTGCCAAGCAGCAGAAGAAGGTTTTTCAGGCACTATCCACCCAATTGGAATCGTTGTCGCATCATTTTCTGAACTGATGAACTTATCCCAGGCCTCACTGAAATGCAAAAAAAGATACATTTTCTCGACTGAAAAAAATTGATACGATATCATTTGAAATTAATTACGTCTTGATATTAAATACATACCGAATCGTGATAAAACTATCTATATCTTTATAGGATTGTTCAGCAGCCAATATACTTGTTCCAAATAACACATTTTCCCAATCGTCGAATAAATTTTTCGTTTGTTTTTCGATCCTCTTTTCGTTGTCCGTTTTTAGCATTAATTTCAATTCCTGTTCTTCTATTGTGTACTCGCGATCCAAAGTAGTCCACTGTTCTATTAATTTAGGTGTAATATACATTTATAATTAAAAATAAAATAATTATAATTTATATTATATTTATATAAGCAACACAATTAAAAAATCCTAGCTTGTATTAAATACTCTATTATTAACCATATTTTATATTTATTAGAATTTCTTATTATATTGTTATTTACCGATATATCTATTTTTATTTTGCATTTTAAAAAATTTAAGTTTATTATTTTTATCATTGAAAATAATGATATGTACTGATGGAAAAATTTGTCCGAATGTGTCTGAAATTGTCCGAAATGTAGTCAAAATGTGTCTGAATTCGTCCTAAATGTTTCCGAAAATTGTCGAGATGTACAAATTCGGACAGTTACAAATAAAATAAGATACTTTCCATCAAATTTCGGTAATACTGTCTGAATTTCTTAGAATTTATTTTTTATATTTTTCGGACCAACTCTGACAAATTTTTTCCATCAGGATAGTAAAATAAAATACACTACCGATGGTATTGTTGAAGGCTTTCTCGGTTGCTAAGGACAATTTCTCGCCCCGTGCTCGAGCAATATTCGCCTTGATCTCTCGTAAGTTCCGTAGTTCTTGTAAAATCCCTAGATACTTTCGTGCATCGTTCCTCTTGCTTCGAACATCAGATAAAACCATATCCGCGTCTTTGCGCAAATTCTCCTCTTGTTTCTCTTGTTCGATTACCGCCTGTTCTTTTCGGATCCATGCATCAGCTTCTGCATGTAACCTTGCTCTTCTTTCTTCCTTCATTAACTTCTCCTTTTTCCATTCTTCTCTTCTAAGTCGTTCTCTCACACGTTTCTTCTTACGTTTCTCTAAATTGTTCTTAACTTTATTTAAAAAGTTCACATTTTTTATAGTTTTTAAGATTTCACAGATTTCATGTTTTGCAGCGTTACAGGCACTGACCTTCTCTTGCCATTCCTCTTCCGGTAAATTAAGGTTGTTCTTAAGTTCCGCGCAAAAAGCCTCAAGTTGTTTATTTAATCTAGCCACGGACATCAATGCATTTTTAGTGTCCGCGATCTTAAACGGATCTTTCTGTTTGTATTTGGTAGGAACTACTGAATCTGTCTGTTGGATGAACTGTTCAATGATCTTTTCATCTTCTTGTCTTGTTCTTATTCTATCGATTGACGTCGCATTATTAACAGTACTGTTATCACATGTTACATGGCTTGGATAAACATTATAATATATATTCCCACCGTAATTTACATTGTATGTAAATGGTTGCTGATTTATTGGATAGTACGTGTTAAAATGCACATTTTGATAAGTCTGTCCAGTATCTTGTTGGAAAGATTGATCACTGTACATATTTATTTTAATATGTGTGCATTCAAATGAGAAAAATGACAAAAAAACTTAAACTATAATAGTTAGGCTATAAGTTTTAAGTGTAAAATTAATCAATCTTAAAAGGTTAGTAGAGGAAAGAAATAAAAATGTATGTTGGATAATATTCGAAAATAATTTAGCGAAAATCATTAAAGAGCACTTTTTTAACACATCTGCAAGATATCTCCTTCTTTCGGCAACTGTTCTTCCGCTTCCTGCAATACTTTTTCAGCCTCAATGTAATCTTCAATTTCCTTTAAATCTTGCTCAGTTTCCAGAATCTTCTTGAGTTCTTCAAATGCTTTAACGAGACGTCTTTGACAATCTGGTACCATCATAAGGGACTCTTGAAGCACCTCCTCTTGCTTCTTTATGTCGTAGCCGTCTTTATCTACAACAACACATGTAAAAAAATTGTTTAATATTAATTTAACAATAATATCACTTCAAAGACTTTGAAATTAAAGAAAGGAAAGCATCTTGTGAATAAAATTGATTTAAATATTAAAGTTATGATCCTATGAAACAATTGTTTCACTAAAAACATTTATAAGCGCTTTAATAAAAATATTTTTTAAACACTACAAATTGAATATTATATATCAGATGAATCTACGCAGTAAATATTTCCGAATATATTACGTGGCTATGAAAAAAGTTACGATGTGAAGTGATAAGGAATTGCATCCTTCCTCCCCTCTTAACTGAAAACGATCCTCACCCTGTTCTTTCAACTTTTGTATCCTCTCGCGCTGTTGCGCCGCCTCCTTTTCGTACGTGACCTTTTCTTTCGCGAGACGCTTCACTACTCCTGTCTTAATCTTGAGCGTTCTTATACGCGGGTCAGACATTATTTGTTGTTCGCAAACGGACGCTTCACCTTTTTGGGGACGTCAAGGACGAGAGAAGCTGGAGTCGTGGATGTGCGTCGAGGAATCGACAGTCTCTTCGCTTTCTTTTCTTTTTTTGCCTTATTAGGCAAGGATGAGTCGATAGAAACGGAATTGTGGCACGATGAGGTTATGTACAACTCACGTTCACTTCACTTCGTACCGTTCGACTGCCTGACGTCACGTGACATTCGTCGAGATCTCGATTTCGATGTCACGTCCGTATCGATATTTTGCCGCGGTTTGTTTCAGTTTTCAGTCAGTCTCGTAGGCGGTTTCTGGGTTTTTCATTATTACAGTTGCTTTTCATTTCCACCCAAGTGATATTGAGACTGTATTCCAAATTTACTGCTGAAAATTTACTTTAGTTTACGTTACGTGCACTATAAATTTTTAGTACTGACAACACAGCCTGAGTCTAATAATTTAAGATGTGAATATATTTTATATTCATATAATAACGTCTTACTTTGATGATCCAAGGCTGTGTTCCAAAATTTACTGCCAGTACTGAAAATCTATAGTGCACGTGACGTAAACTATAGATTTTCAATACTGGTAGTAAATTTTGGAACACAGCCCAAGTTATCGGGTAACAACACAGGTTTATAACCTCACTTTTAACGTGAGTTAACACGCAATGTTTAGAAGATATCTTTGGCCGTATTCCAAATTTATTACCAGCGCTGAAAATCTATAGTTTACATTACATGCGCTGTAATTTTCCGCACTGATAGTAAATTTGGAACATAGCCTTTATGATGTCTTATTTTAAACATCTTTATACACGTGCATGTCCTAAAAGATGCTTTTATGATATTTCTATGAGGTTTTTTTAGGTCTACTGATTCTATCAATGTAAGATTAACTTTAATCTCTGTTCAACTTACTGGTTTATCTTTTCCCAATACTAAGAAATAGAAATAAGATGAAGATGAGTAAATTGAACCGAGATTAAAGTTAATCTTGTATTTGTCAAACTAGATCTTACATGCATGTTGTCTACTGGGAAGATTCGATCTCTCGTTTGTGCAGATTGTAAAAAGTTGAATCTCACTTGTCACACTGAGAGAAAACAAAATAGTTCCAGCAACTATAAATTTGGCAACTTTTGCAATTGAACTACCTATAACTAGTTTTACAAAGTAATAGAAACTAAAGTAGTGCTGAATATTATAAAAATATAGTCACGATAACAAATTGTATGCACTATTAATTGGTAGTGAAGTAGTGACTCAACTACATTGAGTAGTTACTTGGACTTCATGCAAATAGATATAACAATTACATTTTTCTAGTTTAGACAAAAATTTTTAAAGTGTCGCTCAGTACGAGTAATACGCGGCTTTGTCACCAGAAGGACGTAGCGGAGTTCAGTTTCTCCTAAGAAGGAAACCACTTGCTTACAATAAAAGGCGCAGCTTTGGTTTCAAACTTGGAAGACAAAAATAAATAAGAAATACATACACAAATTTGTAACTATGTATTATAAAGCTTTAATAAGAACAATAAGTAAATTAAGTGAACTAAGAAAATATAGTAATATTAACTATTTATAAATTGTTTATATGGTTAATGTACTATATTTTCTTAGTTCACTTAATCTAGTATTCTTATTAGAATTTAATAATATGTATATAGTTGAGGCGCTATTTCACTACAAATTTATAGTTACTGATACGACTTTTTTCTCTGAGTGTAGAATAAAAAAGAACGTACATTCAACTGAATCATGACGTCATAAATAAGAATTATGAATTATCTGAGTTTCGGTGTAAAGAGAAAGCAACTTATATTACGTCGTGCTGCAGTAAGCTCGCTAGTTTTATTACGATCTATAAAACGGGAAACGCAAAAGAGCCTTCGTTTTATCGCACAACAAGCGCTGGGATATGACGCGATTATCGTTATCCAAAAGGATCTAGTAAGAGCAAGCTTTACCTTTCGCCTTATTATCGGGTCGCGGTATTATCGCGCTTCGTCCAATGAGAACATATCAGACGTTTACGGTAATCAACGACACGATAATTTTCTGAAAAGCGATAAAGAGAAAACAATACCTAGTTTATGCAGGAAGTTTATACTTAAGTTTATAGGGGTATGCGATATTTCAATTGTTTATCAAGCATTCAAAGTTGACGTTTTACGACACTCTACGTCCAATCTAAAATTCAGATGTAAACTTTCGTTTCTTATTCGATGAATATCTTTAAATGTTTCTTAAAATTATTTTAAAATCAAAGGAAAATTTTAAAAGAGATTAAAATCTAGGCGATTCGCTATTATACGTGAAAGTACTTAAATAATGTATAAAATGTGTGCATTTTAATTAATAGCGCATATTAATTAATTATAAATTATATATTACACATTATATTATATATAATTATAAATGTTATAAAAAAAATTAGAAAATTATTCATAACCAAAGATAGTGATAATATAATGATAAGATAGATACATATCAATTAAAAAATTTTTATATTTAATCGACCTGCAAGAAAATTTGCGCGTCGCACAAAGTAGGATTCGATTCGGTGCGCGGTAAGAGTCGCGAGGCCGGGGCCGGGGCCGCGTGAAGTTGGCGAGCCTGGGCGGCGCGCCCGGCCCGACTCGCGACTGACTTCGCGCCGCGCGCACCCGAGCGTGTCTGCTTGCCGCACTCCGGCTGCATCCGGCTGCTCCGATAGCGCTTCCGCAGAGCGAAGTGCCGCACCGCCGTATACGCCGCAACGGGACGCGCCGTGCGGGGCGGCAGAACAGAAAGAGGGAGATAGACGGACGGAGGGTGGAAGTGAGAAGGAAAGGACGCGAAGGGTGGTGTGTCACACTGGCGCGTCCGCCGTCGATTGATACGTCCACGAGGGAGATGTGATGCGGCTCACACGATGGTGGACAACGAGTTCCCGGCCGCCGAGAAGATCCTCCGTGACATCGAGAACACCGTCCGGAGGAATCCCACCATGTGAGTTCGCGTTTTTTCTCATCTTTTTCCTCGTGAATAAACCCGGAAGTCTGTTGCACCGCGCACGGGCGTGTTTTGCCGTCTCTAATCCCGTTTCTCGTGACAGGCAAAGATTGAAATCGGTAGAACCGCGGCAACGACTACTCGACCGTCGTGAATGCGCGAAAAGCTGCCACACCGCGTTCGTTCCGTCATTTACACGAGACAGCCGATCGCACTTCCGCGCGTTTGTGGTGTCGCGATTTTGAACTCGGTGCAAGTTACGATCAGTTACGATCGTGTTACGATCCCTCGTCAGGTTTTCGTCGGTTCTCCTCAAATATATCTTCTACATCCCGTTACGATTGTTATTTTCTATCTTTTTCAAAGTCTAAACGCATTTATACACGTCGATTTTATTCTTGATAATAGGAAACGTGGAGTAAGAGAGCTGCTAAGCAGACGAAGTGGTCCAATTTATACGCGTTATCGATTTAAAATCGCCGCGGAGTTACTTCGGTGGATCCTAACCTAAAATGGCTCTCCGAGAGAGCCTCTCGTTTCGGAGCCCGCACTGTAACGCCCGTAAACCGGCAACAGAACTTACGGAACACGCACACGCGATCCTAACCGCGCAGTTGCGAGGGCGGAGTCTTCGAAGGGATGGGCGGTGAGAGGGCGAGGGGAGGGAAAAAAGCGTGCACCGGTGATCGTGGAGGCGAGTCGACCTCGCGATTTTAACGCGACGATCGATCTCGCGCGCGCCAACTTTCGCCCACGCCGCTCGCCGTCACGGCGACCGTGCCGCGATAATAGCCGCGAAGTTGACTGCGAGTCTATCGCGAGTCACGTGCTCCAACTATAATTGACCGCTGCTCTAGATCATAATCTATGAAATATTGAGAGAGCGCGCTCGATTTAACATTAACTCTCCTGGTATTGTCGAAAGTTCCATTATCGGATTTGATAAATTTCCGTTGAGATTTATTAAAAGTAATAAATCTCCGTAAATATTTATTAAGGAAACTTCAATGCAATAATAAATGGTAAATGTTTTTCTTTCGTTTTTTTTTAATTCGTATGAATTATTTGACCTTTTTTTTGCTCGCGTGATTTCTTATATTTCGCGAAACTACAGTTAAGTCCATTCTGCAATTGTGTAGGCGTACATTGTTAGATTCGCAGAAACACAATGGTAACTCGATCCCTTGAGTTAAATAAAATTTTGTTATTTTTAACTTTCATGAATATCAAAATATAAATCCATTTCTGTGGTTAGTTTCAAAGTAAACAACGTCCATATTAGTGTATGCACTTAGTGAATAATAAACTAAACTTAATTTAAATTTAACAAGTTAAATTGTTTAACTCCATTGTTTTAAGTTAAATTAATAACATATTGATAGCAGCAGTGGTGATCTATAGAAATGATTAAAAATGATTCAAATTGGATATAATTTGACATTATAAATTTAATAGCGTAGTTGTAATTTGTAAATGGTTGTAGTTGCAAGAATTGATCAATCACAGTTGAATATGAGGAGAATATTCGATTGTGATTGGTTAATTCTTACAACACAGTCACTCACAACTAATATGCTGACGCAATTGTAAAATAGACTTAATAATTAGTCAACTATGTAACACTGACATAGGAAAATTGCGGTTGGCACTCAGCTTATTCGAATTACTCTGAGGGTAATTAAAACCAATCTTCTTAATCCTAGATTTAACACAAAACGTGTCTCATGCGTATATAGAGAGTAATGAGCAAGCATTATTAACGCCCTATTTTACGTTTATTCTGTTTAATTTCAAGGTTTTGAATTCACATGTTAATATGAATGTGAGCTTCCGAGTGCTGTATAAAAATAAAAAGTTAAAACCGGCTCCAATTATTTTCTCGAAAACGCTTGTTAATCTCGTTATCCCGGTTTTGAGCTCGAGATTAAAATAAACTCGCATTCGCGACTATGATTAAGTCAAAATAAAAAATCTACAACGTCAAACATAGAAGAAGTGTGCGACGGAGACAAAAAGATGGTCATGCATTATAAATAATTAATCAGCTTGCGTCCGTAAAATAGCACCATCCGAAGAGCATCGAGTGCTAATAATCGCGATTTGTTTGCCATCCTTAATTCCACTGCGTTATGTACTTGGTTTTAATTACTCATTCATTTTTACCAGTTCCGGTTAAATCGCGGCGAAGAAAGAAAAAAATTTCAGAATTGTGTCTATATACTTGCGGATTCTCCTTCAACTATTGGAACTTCGGTGTATGTGTGATTATAAAATTTTCTCATATACATGTAATTGTATCATCTTACATAACAGGCTTTATGTAATTTCCGTAAAATCGAATATAGAACTCAAATATAAGGAAACTCAAATATAAGGAATTAACTATCGGGAAACTATTTTACAGGCATATATTTTACTTGCATATAAAAAGTAGAATATAGTCTTTTATTTAAGTTTTTTCTACAATAAATTAAAAAAGAATTCATCAAAATCTAAAAAAAAATCTTTCGTGGAAATCGCGGAAAAGGATTGTTATAAACGTTCCTTTGTAAAATATATTCAATAGTTCATACTGATAACTAGAAATTAAAGTATTGTTTAAATTGTTAGACTAAAAAAATAGAGAACTTCGAACACGGACATAAGAAGACTTATAATTTTATGTGAGAGAGATTATAAACTTGCCGGTGCAAGCTAAACTCTTCATTCCTACAGACATCAGCATTGTGACGAACAGTTGTCTTATCTAGCTGCATTACCCATGACGGATTTTAATTATACATGTTAATAGATCATAGCCGAATATAGAAATAATTTTCTAAACATTTAATAAAACGAAAATTGTTTAGATATTAAACGCACTATCTTAATTTCTATTTATCACTGAAAACATTGATAATTACTTGTTTATTTTTTTCTTTCCTTGCCTTATATTCACACTGTTGAGAATAATTATACATATTCTCTCTTTCTCTTTTTCTAATATTAATTATTTATAATATAATACATAATATTTATATTACTCGAAATGATTATATATAGACTTTTATTACGATTAATTTTAAGTATTAAATATATTAGGCTAAGTAATAAGAAATATTAATTTTCTTTCTCTCTCTCCTTCTGTCGAAGCTGTAATGCCAAAATTTGTAATACAATTATGTTGGATCTATAAGATCCATTTAATTTATATTAATTAAAAAGCACTTTATATTAATTAAAAAGCACATAATTAATTTGAAGAAACCAAAAAGACATATCTCGTATAAAAAAAAGAATAAATACGTATATTTTAACAAGAATAATCCAAATTTTGCAGATGTAAAGAAAAATGAATTATTTGACATTTTTGTCAGAGATTTATAATTAAGTAGGTCCAAAAAAAAAACAGGTCCTCTAAATCAACTCCGGAGAGTGAATGTAAGCAATGTACGAAAACTTGGAATAATACACTGTTAAATGTCAAAGGGGCAACGATTGACTTCAATCCCTTGAGTTAAATAACATTTTGTTATTTTTAACTTCCGTGTGTGTCAAAATGTAAATTAATCTATTTCTGGATTGAATTGCTTAGTTTTAAAGTAAACAGCGTTTATATAAATATTAACGTATGCAACTAGTAAGTAATAAATTAAATTTGAGTCAAATTATATTACGTTTCTTGAATTAAATTATTTAACTCCATTGTTTCAGTTAAATTAATAACGTATTAAATAGAAGCATCGATGACCTACAGAAATGATTAAAAATAACTCAGATTGCGTATAATTTGATAAATTTAACAGTGTATAACTATTTTCACTTTCCTTAATTTAAAAGTCTTACCAAAAATAATTTACGGACGTTTTTTTTTCAAATTTTTTTTACACACAAAGCGAAGCGACAGTTTATAGTCGCGACTTCTCTGTATCTCTAGAAGGAGCTTCGTGATCCTGCCTATGGAGGATAGCGAGAATCGATCGCCGGTGTTTCACCAGGAGGACAGCTTGGGCCTGGCGTCGTGGTGCGTTCAGCCGCTCTACGTGTACACGTATCGCCGGCTGCTGGAGTATC